GAAGATCGGACAGATTTCGCCAAGGCAAGCTGGGCAGTCGCCTATTGCTCCTATTCCAGATAACCCACTGTACCCTGTCTGAAAGGAAGTAACGCTAGAGTAGACTCGCGAAAAGTGTATAAGACACTTTTAAGATCAACTAAATAGCTAAGCCCAAGGGAAGTCGTTCGGGGAGGCCCTCCCTAGTTGTCAAAGGGTAAGAAGAGAAGAGAACACGATAACGAAACGTTGAATCATGTAGAAGACGTAGGGTAAATGCGAAGCAAATTAGGAAGAACATGCAGTAAGCTAAGCGAAGAGGTAAGCAAGAGACATGTTAGACTATACTACAACTACTATACGTATGAGTACTAGTACTACACTACTACTACACAAAAAAAAAATAAAAACATCTACAATTAACAATTACTTCAAATAAAATGAACAAAAATAAGCATGCAAAATAAAAAATTAATTTGAATAAAATTAACTTGATGAATTCTACTAGATAGAGCATGCAGGATAAAGAACTGTTTCAACTCCGGGGTCATCTTTGTCTTCTCCAACGTCCATCTGAAACAGATACAGTGGTAACAGATTAATAAGGAGCAATTAATACTAACTGTTATGTAATCTCACCTTAATTAAATTTCTACAGTCAAAGATTAACTGTTTATTCATCCAAAGTGAAGAAATTTGAAACGAGTGAAACCCATCAACTCTATTGTAGAAAACGTGNTGTTCCTCATTTTAACTTTTTTTTTTCATATTTTTATCTAACCTTTTCTCCCAGCATTTACTACTTTAGTTTTAAGTTTATAACAAAATAAATTTAAAGACCTATTAAGAACGGATGTTTTTTATTTTTAATTTTTAGCTTTTAATTAAACAGTGGCACGATCAGTTGCAAAACAGATCACCCTTGGAAAGGAACTGCACTCGAGGGAAAGTTACGGTAGCTACTTTCGAACAGACTAAAGTCTACCTAAAACCCCTCCTGCGTAAACTCAAGAACCACACACTTCCTGACGACATTCTAGAAAGTTTGACCGAAATCACCCTACATTTATTAAACAGAAATTATTTAAAGGTAAAGTGTATATCAGTTATTATTATTATTTAATATATAATTCAATGTTTATTTTAATGTAAGGCTAGCGATGCCTATCTTCAAATGGCAATCGGCAACGCTCCTTGGCCCATAGGGGTGACCATGGTGGGTATTCATGCACGTACAGGCCGTGAAAAGATTTTTTCGAAGAATGTAGCGCACGTTATGAACGACGAGACGCAAAGGAAATACATTCAGGCTGTTAAAAGACTAATGACAAAGTGTCAGGAGTACTATCCCACTGATCCTTCGCGGTGTGTCGAATATGCTGCCTTTGGATCGCCACAAACCGCGAAATCCGGAGAATAACTGGTCCGGACGATTCATTTTTTAAAGGTAATTCCTCTTTTAATAACCGATTTAAATCGCGGATTAAAGATTGTCAATTATTTAACTAAGATCCATTTATCGTATATAATATATTTACGTAATTGGAAAAAGAAAAAAATATTTCAGAATTTAAATATAGGATTCTTATTTATTGTCACATGTATTGTTCGTTTTTTGTATATAAATAAACAATTCCAGTTACTGATCCTTAGCTTTTTGTCCGAGCTCGTCGGCTCGTTTTGTGGCAGCTTCAATAGCGTCCATCAATGCGCCCCTAGAAATAATTATTTTAATTTCACGAAGTTATATGTATATACTTATTATTTACCGAACTCCTTTTTTCTCTAATGCATGTATCCCAGCAATGGTCGTACCTCCAGCTGAACACACGTCGTCTTTTAGGTCTCCAACGTGTTTTTGTGACTTGAGTACCATTTTAGCGGCCCCCAGTACCGTTTGGGCGGCCATTTCTGTCGAAATATCTCTGTACACGCCCATTTTGACTGCTCCGTCTGACAGGGCCTCTATTATCAAATAAGCCTAATAAAGAAGAAAGATTGTACATACGGTGAATTTTTTATTTCATCTAAAACGTACGAATGCTGGCCCACTTGATATAAGGGCTGTAACGGCGTTGATCATATACTCGGGCACCCTTCGACACATACCTGCTTTTTCTAAAATTGTTATTACGTTCGAAATATCGTCTTCAGTAACGTTTTGACCCGGGGTGTACACTGTACAACCCTCTCCTACCGTCATGGGTGTGTTGGGCATTACGCGGATCACTCGACATTTTTCGAAATTGCTTATAAACTAAAAATTTATATATTTTTGTTGTAATAGTTTCGATGTTTCAAATTATTTCCACATTTACCTTTTCTAGGGAAGATATTGTTACGCCGGCCAAAACTGATACAAAAAGTTTATTCTTGATTTGGTCTTTTCTCTTCGTTATCAGTAAGTCCATTACTTCTTGTAACATGTGCGGTTTTACAGCAATAAATATTATTTCTGCTTTTTCTGCAACGTCGCCATTGTCTAAACTAACGTTTGTTTTCCATGTTTCCCAAACGTGCAGGTTTTTCTTGTAGGGACTTGAAACGTAAATTTGCGAATATTGTACAACACCTGAAACGTATTATTTCGAAATTAACACTACGTGACTAGGGTTATTTTAGGTACCTTTTTTTACCATACTGTTACAAATAGCTTTAGCCATATTTCCGTCACCTATAAACCCTATTTTGTGCGACAACTTTTCTTTTGTCGGTGGCGCTTGATAACATAATTTTCTGATTCTGTGAAAAAACATTCTTTTTTTTTCTCTTATTTTACAAATGTTCAAGTCATTTTTCATGGTACGCCACTGATTTCTGCATATGGCAATAAAAATACGCAAAACTATTTTCGTTTTTACCTTACATTAGATAAAGCTAATATTGATTGAATACTCACCCAGTGATAGCACAATTAAAATTTAAATCACATAAATACTTGCTTTGTATAAGTCTTAGACCACACCCGACAAACATCGTGAAGTTATCGATTAAATTGTGAAATTGTTGTTTTAAACTTCTAATAGAAAATAGTTTATAGATTTTAAAAGAATATTTTTGGTCTAGTGGCTCTTTAATTTAATATTTTAGCTGTTTCGACCATTTAATAAGAAAGAAAATGCATTATGACGTTAATTACGTCCAAAGTAGGTCATTAACAATTAATTGGCATACATACCTACCTTTGGTTTACTTTTCATTTCTTAAATGTTATTATTAGATTCATGGACGATTAAGCCTTTAAGGCCATTTCATCCATTTAAATTTAATATTGAATTGTAAACTTTTTATATATTTTACATTTATTTAAATTTGAGTACATGCTTTTTTATTCTTATCTAATCAATAAAAAATAAAATAAAATCCATAACAAAAGAACTTAATGCATACTGAACATTTTTACTACAAGTTTATGGTTTATAGTACAGGTTTGCTCATCATAGGAGTTTTTATGCTTCCGTGTCTCGATACGCTCGTCTTCGTTTCTTTGGTTTTACTCAATTCAGCTGATCTTGATGTTGCAGCTTCCACTGCATCCATAAATGCAGCCCTATATGTAAATATCAACGAAATAAAATGGAAAACTAGTCAAAAATATGGTTTAAAGGAATGTACCTAACCCCGTGTTGTTCTAACACATGTACACCAGAAATTGTCGTTCCTGAAGGAGAACACACTTCGTCTTTGAGAGTCCCAGTGTGTCTTCCCGTTTCTAAAACCATTTTGGAGGCCCCCAGGACAGTTTGCGCCGCCAATTTGGTTGCCATTTCGCGTGGAATGCCATTCTTCACTGCACCATCAGATAAAGCTTCAATAACGAGGTAAATCTGTAATTATATTCACTTTTATATTGATTAGAAAAAACATTACCAAAAACATCGGTACATTACTTGCTCTACTAAGCATTTCATTATTTTGATATTGTTAATAATGTTAGTAATTGCAAGAGAATGTATCTTTGAGCTATCCTGAATATGTAAAAACAAAAATTTGTAATAAAACTCTTACAAAAGCTGGTCCACTTCCTGCTATTCCACATATAGCATCAAACATAGACTCTGGGACCAAATTACAAACTCCAGAAACTTCAAATATCCTTCGAACCAATGCAATGTCCTCATCAATCGCTACCTGTCCTGGACAATATGCAGTGCAACCCTCTCCCACCATTAGAGGAGTATTTGTCATCACCCTTACCACACGAGATCCCTCAAAACCCATGAGAGTCTAATAGAAAACACTATTACATACATTTACATTTTTAAACAAGTAAACCCAATTCTTACATACATTTTCCAGTGCTGCTATTGTAACTCCTGCCAAAATTGAAATAAACAGCTTCCCAACAATCCTGTAGGGAGAACTGGTTTTGTATATATCTGCTATTGCCTCAGGCAATACGTGGGGCTTCACACACAAAAATATAACATCAACTTCTTCTGCCAGTTTCCCATTTTGATGGGTTGTTTTTGCACCTTGTGCTCTCCAATACACCAAACTTTTCTCATGAGGTCCAGATACATAGATTTGTGAATAATCTACCAAACCTGTGAAAAAGAAACTACTCTTTAAGTATAAACTGACTATGCACTTAAAACTGCAATAACCTTGTCGAACCATTCCTTCACAGATAGCCTTGGCCATATTTCCTGGTCCAATAAATCCTATCTTTTGACTAAGAGGTCCTGAATTTTCTGATGACATTATTTTCGTCTTATTTTACTAAAAATTCACTTTTTGTAAATTGCACCAATTAACCTCAATTTTCTTAAAACTTCCTATTTAACACAAAACCATAAAACTAATCACTAAATTGACCCATTATAATGCTTCTATCGTAAAAAACTTGTTATATTCGAGAAAAACATTGATTAATTAAACAAATAAACATGATAGGTATACTTCATTAAAAAGGAAGTGTCTCCTGTACAATCTAACCGTGTTTTTATTTTTTTTAAAGAAACCGATCACGACTAAACCCTTCGTCAATGTATAAATAAATAAATACGTTTATTTATTTATTCGATTTTAGTCTTACTAATAACTGACAAGAGTTATAATTAATTAAAATTGACATGTAATCTGACAAAATAGGATCATACGACTACGATAAGTGTTCTCATGGTCATGTCCTTCCATTTATCTTTACAAACATGAACCTAGGTGAAATCTCTCCTTTTTATCTTCCATGTAGTTTTAAAAATAATAAACGCGGTCGAATCGTTCTTTTTTAAAAAATATAAATACACGGTTGTACTACACTGGAGACACATTCTACTTTTTTTCCTCTTTGTCATGCACAATGCCTTTTTTTTAGGCATTCACCGTCTCTCTCGCACTTGTATTCAATTATCTTTAGAGTTGTGATCAGGCGATGGAACTTTAACGAAGCAAAACCCACCTAAATTTCAATTTTATAAAAACGAGCTGAAACTAGCCACCCGATTGGTTAAATTACGAAATTTTTGCCGCGTATCGTCGCAGAAATCTAATATTGTGCTTCTGCGTATCATTTTACGCGTCATAGGTGCTTCGTGCATTAGCTTTCGCAAATTTCTGCAAGCAGGGAACGAGCTGTGCACTGCTCATTAGCAGGGAAGGTATTGGGTAGGTTGGTGTGTATTTTCAGATGTAACTGATTTCATTATTTTGTTCAGTTAGATTTATTGCAATTAGCTTTTAGTGAGTTAAAGTAATTAAATTCAAAGCGGTTAGTTTTTGAAGAGCTTTATTTAACAGCCTGACTGGTTATTGAGACTGATATTTTAACATGTCTGAAACGTGACGCCTATCGCCATTTTGAAATTTTTTTACTTTCACAAGATTTTGTTTTACAGGATAATTATAAAAGCTCCATGCCATGAGTTCCGGAATATTGGTCTTCCCAGTTCTTATTCACTCCAGGATGTAGTTGCATTTGAAAGAAGCATCCAGTGGAAACAAACAGCAGAATGTGGCGTTGATAGAGAAAGGATTTCTGAAAATGAAATGGTAAGTAACAACATAATTAGAGATAATGTATGTAAAATTTTAAAGAATTTTACAGAAACCTCAACTTCCTAGGCATTTACAACCTAGTTTCATTAGACAAGTGTTAGGTGTGAGTTCAAAACAACAGAACTAAAGTAGAACTGCATTCCAGGATATATTAATTTATTGAATATAGGAAACATTTATTTACCTTATTAACAGTACATTGTGCATTACTTTAAAATTGTACTACTTTTAACTTAATGTTTATATTTAATTTCGTATCTTTGTTTAATACTGTGACTAATTTGTTTTTCTTGTCCATCTCTACAGATTGGCCAATAAATGAAAGAGAGTTAGAGTTCAGGTTGACCATACCAACAACCAATGTCTACAATGGCATCTTTTTTGGACAATGTTCTTGATTTGCTGTTTCCATCTGTACCTTGCAACATTATGCAGTTAATCTTCAATCATTGAGTGGGAGCAACTGGAGAACTGATACAACTTCTCTGCTATGGTATTTCTCCAGGATTTAGTTTGCTTTTCATACCTGCAAACTTTGAAACACTAGACTCTACAGTTCATTAAGGTGAGGATGCTTGACATAATTAATATTAATTGCTCCTTATTAATCTGTTACCACTGTATCTGTTTCAGATGGACGTTGGAGAAGACAAAGATGACCCCGTAGTTGAAACAGTTCTTTATCTTGCATGCTCTATCTAGTAGAATTCAACAAGTTAATTTTATTCAAATTAATTTTTTATTTTGCATGCTTATTTTTGTTCATTTTATTTGAAGTAATTGTTGATTGTTAATGTTTTTGTTTTTTTTTATATGTAGTAGTGGTACTTCTAAAACACTTTTAGTAGTTGTAGTATAGTCTAACATGTCTCTTGCTTACCTCTTCGCTTAGCTTACTGCATATTCTTACTATAAATTGCTTTGCATTTACCCTACGAGTTCTACATGATTCAACGTTTCGTTATCGTGTGTGTTTCTTCTCACCCTTGTGGAATTAGGGAGGGCCTCCCCGAACGACTTCCCTTGGGCTTAGCTATTTAGTTGATCTTAAAAGTGTCTTATACACTTTTCGCGAGTCTACTCTAGCGTTACTTCCTTTCAGACAGGGTACAGTGGGTTATCTGGAATAGGAGCAATAGGCGACTGCCCAGCTTGCCTTGGCGAAATCTGTCCGATCTTCTCTACCAAAACTATTAGTATTTGCCGTTAGTCCTGTTAATTTTGCACTATTTGCTTTCAGATAATGACG